CTTGAAGGAGATGAATTTTGCTTAAACAACGAGCTTGTCGGCATGGAAAAGCTTGTCTGCCTCTGTATACTGCCTCTGCAAAATTAGACGATGAATCTTCTATGAGTCACAATTTCTTCTTGCCAGTGCAGCAACTACACGAGCGCCGAGACGTTACGCAAAGAACCGCCTATCGCGTAACTTGGAGAAGAAGAAAAAATGTGCGCGGCTGAATAATTAATTAACGAAGAAACGTGCCCGTATCTAAGATTTAGCGACTTTGAACTAACGGTAATATATACCGCATCTTTCTACGAGAAGGAAAACAATTTTATTTGCTTTTAAATGCTTCAATCTTGACTGGTATCAGAATTTTTATCTCGATGTCAGTATTATAAAAAAAAATAGTTTCTGACAGATTAGAAAAGGCCGCAGACAACTTGAAGAAGACGAATTTTACGTAAACAACGAACTCTTCGCATGGAGAAACTTGTGTACGGACAAAATTGAACGATGAATCTAAAAGTAAAATTGTAAAAAATACTTTCTCTGAGATTTTTACTTTCATGACGCTCACGATCCCATCAACTCTCTTCAATCTACCATTAATGAAGGTGTAAGTTATTAATGACACAGCACTTTGTTAAAAAAAATCAATTAATTGCAGGATAAAAGATATTTCTCTCCTTATTCGCGAGAGAGATAGTAAAAATTCAATAAAATGAATGCTAACGTTCCATGAATAGATAGGAGTGGCTGAGGAAAGACGCTCTCATTTCTGTAGAATAATTAACTAAGCGTTTCATTTGTCGTACGTTCATGGATTTATCGAGAAAATTCCTCTTGCGTTTTTCCCTTTGCTCGAAGAAAATTACACACTGAAGATGTAAAATGACTTGTATTATACCGAGTTTACACTATTTAAGTAAGACATAAGTCTTACATTTACCAAATATTACCAAGTGATCCCGTAGAGAATGTATAAGATTTACGTAAAGAATATTATTTGAATAAATAAACACCAATTGGAGAATGATAAATTCTATGCTAAGACATAAATATCTAATTATACAATAAGCGATAAAATCAAGTAGGTCACAGTGTAAAAGAAAAGTGAGAATTTAATACTTAAATACAAGCAGCTATTGTTTTATAACTTGTCACATAGAACATAGTGTATTTAATTTTTCGCGTAACTTAATAAATTTAATTTTTTATTAATGTATTGATTACTCATATTATTAATCTGTAGTATTTAAAACATTATCATATACATCTAATTTAATACAGTTGCAGATCTAATAGAATTGAAAATATGCTTTAGTAAACAATTTTAATGTAAATTTCACGAGAAATGGCACCCGGTGCTGTGTGTTTGAACAAGGATTTAGGGTTTCCTCCGAGACCTCTAAGACGCATCGCAGACATCGGATTACCGAACTTGGGCCTCTTGTTATCGTTGGAGAACCCTTCGCCACCAAAGTTCCGCTGTTCTTATCCGAGCCGATCAGCCAGTCGTCGACCGGCCAAGAGCGGCTCTCTACTCAATGAATGATTTCCGCGCAACGTTGCCACATTACGTCTGCATTCTGCACCCATTACAGCATCGGCAATGCTATCTCGCGTCTTTTTCTCCCGTTCGCCCGAGTATGGACAATTATACGCGTTGCGTAATGCATCTGACGCATTTATTGTTTCATGGCGTGCTAATTAAATAGTTTCATGATACAGCGACTCGAAGACCGGTTTCACCAATGCCGACTAATTTCGTTTGCAATTTAACTCGCCTTTCCTGCCTTTTTCTAGGTTCTGATATTAATTATAGTATGGAAAGAAAAATTTAGTCAATTGTTAAAGAGTAGAATTTAGCAACTATCAATTGAGATGAACGTTTACGCTGTCTCTACGAGCAATATTTATGGACGTTATTTCATAACACGTTCGGATAAAAGAACTAAAGACAAAAACCAACGTCTCGAAGTCGATTCTTTTCTGCGTAGTTACAGTCGTGTCGGTCGTATCTCGTATCGAATGTACGGGAATGATTGATCATCACACCGTGGTATGAGCACGTGATTCAGCTACAATGCAGTATAGGCGCGGTCGCCGTGATACTCGGTCGCGAGGCACGCAGCGATGCGCCTCGAGGAAATTCTCAGTAGAGAAGCAAAAAAGGTGAAAGGGCTTAGACGCGTCTCTGTCATACCGGAAAGACCGCGATTAAAATCTAGTCGAAGAAAAAAATGGCGAGATAATAATGAAATTTCTGTTGATTTCTATAAATTAAATTGTTCCTGTATTTGAATTAAAATATTAAATTGATTGATGATCTTATTACTCTATTTTTATCATTGAACCTATATTATATTATATTAGTACCTTTTATGTATATTAAGTTGTAAGGAGAAACTTTAGCTTCAGTTCTCGAAATGCAGTTATATATACTACGTTTTATGACTGATTGATAAACATAACATCGCCAAGAGAATGATCGATACTGATACTTTAGAAGATCGCGATATTTTACCACGGTTATCGGTTAATTATCTCGCCTAATGGACGAAGTAAATATTGATCTCGAAACCGTACGATAATATTTGATCTGACAGTTCCGACCGAGAAAAAATCACACACGTTTCTTATCGGCTGCAGTAATATCCGTACATAATAAGCTCATATTACGGATTGAGATATTAGGAGAGTCAAGGCAAAGATTTATCGCTGTTAGCTTCCTGCGTGATAAAAAATAAAAGTGCGAATTACATTGTGCAAACTTGGATTAGTAATAATAGAATAACGAAATCATTAGCGGAATCATTGTCTGTATACGATATTCTCTATATGCGTACATAACTTTCTGTATATGGTAATATTTTATTTACTGCAATAAATTAAGTATGTCAAGTATTAATTTTGTATATAAAATTATATATTCCTTTCAATCTGTTCTATTCCCTCTCTGATTTCCCGTGTTGTTCCCAAAGAGTTACAGACGCTACCTCCACGAGATAATAAGGGCGGTGCATTCGCGTACACGAGGAAGAGAAGAGAAAGGAAAAGCAGACTACCGGCGCCATACTGTAACGCCTCCCTTTGTCCCTTTTTACCCACAACGACCGACGACCTCGCGAGATACCGCGAGATACACGAGAAAGGGAGATAGGGAGGAGAACGCGGAGTTATACAGGAAAATTCTCGGGTATATAGAATGTTTAAGGAGGAACTATCTCATTGTTCAAGACCGATACTATCGCCCCTAGCAATATTGACCATTTCTACCTGAGACACCGTGTAGGTGGCCGATGCATCGCACGCACGCAGGCCACGCACGCTACGCACGCGAGGTTTGTTTACAAGGCGCGCCTCTCGTACTCGCTACCGGAGTTCCTTGACTCCGAATCCAAGTGAGACGGCAAAGTGGCTTTCCACCTTGCACACAACGCGCGCGTTTCTACCTCCGTCTTTCCTTTCGTCGTCCTTGCTGGACTGCCGCCCCCGCTTACTCTCCTCTCTTTCGCCTATATCTCCCGATATTACCTTCATCGAGTCGATTATCTCAATTCATTGCTATCTCAACATCGCGCCGACAAAAAGACGCCCCGGGACCACACGACTAACGACGGCGTCGACGCCCGCCGATTCTCAGCCCCGTCGCGTCGCGTCACTCGTAAATCACGCAACCGTCGACGGTGGAAACGAATCGCCGGCAATTATCGTCCGGGTAATCGAAACGCGGTGGCGGTCGACGCGCCTCGTCATCATCACCTGTTAACCCTCTCGGCGCCACAAACGCGACGATTCTTTACCTCTCTATCAGAATTTACATGTATAGGGTAAACTCGGGTAAGATGGCCATACGCAGGAAAGATGGCCAACTCATGTTCATTCGATGTTTCATGGTGAGCTAGATTGCTAGATTGAAAGAACATAGGTTGGCCATTTTTCTTCTATGGCCATCTTACCCGAGTTTACCCTAGGAGATTCTTTATTTATGCCATAGTACTCTCGTTAGTTTATTTGGACGCAAATGGTGCTATTGGTCGAAGTATAATAAAGGCAGACTTACGTAAGAATCGATCGAGTGACGTGAAACGATTAAATCCGCTTTGAAGTTCATTGAAAAGCGCGAACGCTCTGTATGGTTTTTGTGAACCTCATGTTTATGCTTCCATCCATTGATAAAATTGATCAGATCTTATAAATGTGATATGTATATCGAGAAAAAATTAAGCCGTTCAAAAATGTTATCAAAGATTTTTTTTAATTTTTCGGAAAGAAAATTACGTTTATTAAATTGTGATAAATTGTGATAAAACAACAGAATATGAGCATAATTTTAAAATAACCCGTTATTAAAGTGTAACTCATTTATAACGCAGTAATATTTAAATATATCGAAGTATGTGTTTGTTATAAAATATAAATCCGATATGGTGAAATGCTACCTGCATGCGATAATTATTTTCAATATCGTTGTTATAGGATAGAAACAAAACGTGGCATGCAGCAGACTCGACACCGTCATAGATAAATGAGAACGTTCACGCTGTACGGAGTGTACGGTAGAATGCCACGAAACCGGATCGACCGAGAAGAATACCTTGTTCGATTATCCGTGTTCAATCCATCTGACACATATACGAAACAACCAATGACAGAAACGCTCTCCGATATAATTACACTAATATCTCTTTACATCGCGCTATCGTTTGCAATAACAAGTTTCAAACACGGAAATCCTCATTAAATCTTGTTGCTAATAATAGTTGCTGGAAATAATAATAATAATAATCCTAGTAATACTTCCCTGAGATCATTTCTTTTCGAAGCGTCATGTCATTGTGACAAAAATAAAATACCTATACTTATCTACAAAGTCGATTATCACGTCAATTGCCACGTGACTCATCCTTTTGCATTATTAATATACCCGCGCGCACAGCACGAATGCGATTTTTCGTTGCAAATACCGTTAAATCAATCGATAAATCGATAATAATTAAATCGTTCACTAAACTCACCGATCACCGTGTTCGCCGCTACCTCCTTGGCGGCAGCCGCGGCTGCTGCTGGTCCATGCGCCAAAAAGTCACTCAAAGACAAAGACGACGCGATGATCTGTCGCTTCTCCTCGAAGTTAAGGTAATCCAGACTGTTGCTGCGCTGCGGCGCCGTCACGATCGTCACCGTTTTCGTCGTCGAGTGATGGTGATGATGATGGTGCTGCTGTTGATGATGCAGATTGCCATCCACAGCCAAACCGCCGCTCTTGTCATTGCCGCCGTTGTCGGTGGCGCCCGGGCTGGTGGGCACCAGGTAGACGCCACTTACGCGTATGGACATCGCGTTCGGGGCCCGATCCTTGCAGCGACCCCGTCTCTTCCGGCGCCACGGGCTGAGGATCGCTACGAAAGCCGGCAACGGAGCTACCGGGTGGTCCCTGTCAGCGTGGCGCGCATCCCGGTGTGCACCTGCTCGAGGGATCGGCGGCAGCGGCTCGCGTCGTCGTCGTTCACCACTTCTCGTTCGCGGCTCCACGGCTCGACGGTGAGATTCGCGCGGCTCCCACGTGCTCGAGCGCGATCCCGTGACAACGATAATGATCCCCGAGATACCTCGAGATTACGCGCGGTCGACTGTCGTCGTTGTCGACCAACTATCGGCGATTACTGATCCCTCCCGGGCGAGCGCACATCTGATCGTCCGCGTCGCGCAAAGAGGCGCCGATTGCTCCGAGAGATCTTTCAACTCTTCACTTGTAAACTTGCGTATACTTGAGTGTACAACGTGATCTCTCGAGCGTCGTTTAAGCGCGTGATTATATCACATGTATACGAATGACGCTCTCGTTATCGCCCGCTCGATTACAGACGTCGAGCTAATTATCTTGCACGCTCCAGATAGAAATTTCTTCTTGGTGCGGGAAGCAACTCGGTTATTCTATCGAGATTATGGCACGGTGCACCTTGACGGGATCCATCAGAGTAGACGAACGTACGAAAAGTCGTTTAAATCGAGACCGGCTTCATGGAGAGACGCTGGCTATTTACAACGGAATTCCTCGCGATTGGCACATACCATGGAAAATATCTCGTACGGAGAACCGCGAGAGCGACGTTGATGACTGAAGGAGAGTCGCGTCTCCGCGTCCCTGCGCATCAACGAATGAGGAAAAATTAACAGCCACTGCCCGATCTTTATGAATAGCGCGCATTGTGTTCGTTCGCGGGCAACCGACGATTATACAACAAGCAACGAGTTTGATCTTTTTTCAAAAATATATCGATGAAAATGACGTTAAAACGTATTTACATAAAGAGCCAAATTTTAACTTTGTTAAAATAAAATGAAATGACACAAATTTCATACTAATTTCCGCTAATATCCGAACGATTAAATTTATTATTAAATAATATTTATTAACCGGGGGCGGCGCGGCGTGTGTGAGAGCTCGATTTGTCACAATCAATTTATATATTACTCAGAAATGATTGAAGTAAATAAAAAAATTAATAAAGTAAATCAGGATCGACACGTCCCATGATTAATTCGCAAAAAAATCGTCCTTCCCTTTCATCCTTTTATCTCTAATATTCTTCAAATCGATCGAGTCCTTATCTCGCCCGAGAATTTTATGAGATGCGGCTCAAGGCCGAAGAAAATTTTCCGCGCGACGGAAATGAAAAGAATTTTCCGAGGCCCGTCTCATCCGGCGGTAGATTGAATCGTGCTGTTTCGCACTTCGCGGAGGATATCGAAACGGCTGCTTTCCGCGCGATATGAAACGCCGCTCATCGACATTTAATTACTTCGGCACGATTTCCGGACAGATTTATGAACGATAAAATTATTGCCAAGGACCGACCGACTGAGCGTTTTAATATGAAAACGCGATGAAACGCGATAATAACTTTATTCGGCGCATGTGTAAAAATAGGAATCGATTCGTCTTTTTAGCCACGCCGCTATTGTTTAAAAAGTTAACGTAAAACGTGTTTTCCCGTCGTATTTATCTTTAACCAACGTGCATTAAGATAGAGCGCAAATTTACACACGTCACTTCGCGAACACAAGATCCTTTTCACGCGAGCACGTCACATTATTACATTTAATTAATTAACCACGCCCCGATGCCCTCAATTTAAAAGATTGCTCGGCGCGGAAAAATAAGTCACTTGGATCGAGAAGAAAGGAATTTATCCTCCGCGTTCTCCTACGACATTCAACAGATTATTAAGCTCCGCTCTCTGTCAGTCCGCGGAGCAATTCTAACGAACGCGACCGGAAATTTCCACGGACAGGAACACTTCGCTGACCCTCACTGACCCTCGTGCGTCAGGCACACAACTGTCACTCGGCACAATCGCGCATTTTTTAACGGAACAATTTCCCGGAGCTGAGCGAAACGCGAAACGCGAAACACACGACGGAGTTCGGAGCGTCGCGTAAAGAAGCGTCCATTCACTGCTCGCACGACCGACTGACTAACCTCCAAGGACAGGACAGGCATCGTCCGCGATACGAGGGCGTGCTGTAACCGTCGTAGGCGTAAACAATTTTCCTCGCCTCGTGCTCTCACACACGTACGCGCACATACACATGCACAACGAATATAACGAAGCGAGCGAGCGAGCGAACGAAAGAATGGACACGCCGACGATAGGCGGGGGAGGGGGGACGCGGGTCGCGGAACTGCGCGCGAGATCGCGGTTACGTGCAATACGTACGTATTCTGGCGGTTGTCGGTAGACGACGATAACGACGACTCAGGCAGTGGAGGGCTCGTTTTCTCGGCAGGATTCGGGAAGGGCCGTCGAGGCGCCGCGAAGGCCCGACGTTATATCACAGAGAGCAGGCGTCGGCTCTCTCCTCCGTTGCTTCCACGAGACACCTGTCCGCGCCAGGCAGCGAGGCGAGGCGAGGCGAGACGAGGAGCGCAGGTGAGAGGAGAGTGAGACGGCGATAGAGAGGACGCAACGATCGTAAACACACGGGGAGCGGCGCGTAGTACTCCAAACTCCGTAGCACACGCGAACGTGGAACGTCGCCGTCACGCGGATGGGAAGGAAACGGTCGCGAGAGACGGAGAGAGCGGAGAGATGGCGACCGAGAGAGGGCACGGGAGATCCCGGCGATCTTCCTCGTCGGCGCCGACGACGCTGGAGTACACAACGCACTGTTCACGCACACTGACACACGGATACGTGCCGCACGGGCGACACGAACTCAACGGACGCCGCCGCCGCCGCCGCCGCTGCCTCTTCCTCCCGTTCGCGCGAGAGTGAAAGAGAAGGAGAGCGAGAGAGAGCGAGGGATATCGTTCGCGGCGGCGGAGAATCGCGACGAGACGGCCGTCGCGTCGGGCGGGACGGATTCGCGAACGGAATTAATTGCGAACGTCGCGCGGACAGGCAACGTGCGAGACAGGCGGCCGGAAACAACTGGGAACGACAGTCACGGCGACGACAACCACACCACGAAACACACACCGAGCGAGGCTCGCGAGTACTGAGGGCGGCCATGCGACCGAAGCGCCTTCTCGTGTACGAAACGACTGGCAGCGCGAGCACGAGACGGCACTAGCCGGACTCCGACTCCGGTCCGGAGTAACCGCCAGCCGGCTGACGCGCCGAGCGGAGCCGAGCGAAGCCGAGCCGCGCCGAGCCGAGCGAAGCCGAACCGCGCCGAGCCGAGCCGAGCCGAGCGGAGTACGGAGAAGGTCTACGGTGCGTTCGTTGTAACTTTCGCTCAATTAACGTGTTGCGCCGACTTGTCGTGCATTATACCTCGTCGTATCACACCCGGGGACGCTAACGATTAACGATCATGACTATGTGAAAAATTCGAACCAGGGCGGTCCTCGTCGTAATTTAAGCTGTACGAAACGCGAGCGTGGAAATTTTAGCTGTGCGTGCGCGCGGGTATTTGCGAATGACACTTTTCTAAATTGTATAACGTGACGAAAAAATAAATATATATCTAATAATAAAAAATAAATGTGAATAGGAATTATTTTAAGTATTTTTTATTAGCCCTGATCTCGTCTAATTTCCCGTAATCCTCCCATAATTCTCTTAACGTGACTCTTCTTTTGTTCTATCCTGGATCCTATTCTAGTCCTGGATTTTCTACCTGAGTATCACGATAGTTTCGCTTGGATACCTGAGACTGTAAATGTACGATCATCTCTTAGGTGGAATGCGCAGCCCTGGGGACTAGCTACTAGCTAGCTACTGATGCGTTAATACATAACTCAATGGCAGATTTTCCATTAGATACAACAGGGAGCATTAGACACGCCATAGATCCGCAAATTACGCTAAAAGCCTCGCACGTCGGACATCTGACACTTCAGATTTCCAATAAACATATCTATAATATATAATGTATATATCCCTTCAAAATTTTATTTTGCTTTATAGTCCCAACGTTATTTAAATTTTATATCGATTTAGAAGTTACAAGTGATTTTTCATTTCTACGTAAATCGATATATGATTACAGCTTTGATCTAGTTCATCATATGATTAGTAATGTGCGTACGGCTGTGATCTAATTTTTAAATTTCTTATCTTGCCTATCTGAACTCGATTATTACGACGACTGAATCATGTTTGCAATTATAAGCTATGATAAATGGCAAGCGAACGTTTATCAGGTGACTGTCAGTTTCACATGTTTTCTTTAATGCATCAAGTCACATACAAGCCCGGAGATCGCACATGTGAAAGTGACAATCGTGGGTGTGGCGAATATGAGACCAGTAGTGGAATGGAGAAACGTAAAAGGATGACGTAAATATTATAGTGTGTCCATCATAATTCAAACGACTGAAGACACAGCAATTTTTTTGCAAAATTATAATAAAGATAAATTCGAATGCATTATGTAACTTACGGACTGGGGATTGATAATCAGCTAGAAATTTTTCTAACTTTGAGATACATACCTGAAACAGAAATAAAATTTTATTTAGATCATAATTTGCGTGTTCTCCAATATTATTATTTCGCTATAAAAAAAATAAAGATAATTTCTGCGTTAATTAAATGTGTTTCTCAACATTTTTAGTTAACGCATCGTCAATCAGAGATAATGACAAACTAAAATTCCTGTAAAGGAAATTAGCTTACGTTTAAACAACTCGTGATTGGTACGTATGTTAAACTTAAAAAAATGAACGAGACAGCTATAGTCAGGAAGCAGTGAATCAAGAATAAGAGCACATATGTTGCATTGTTTATGACAGCGCGACTGTCGACAGATTAAGCAGATTTATCACGTTTATGGCAAGAGATCGCGCACTTTGCAGACCAAGCTGTATTTTCCAAGACTGTCACGGATTCAGACGAATGTTCAGAGACGATGGGCGGATGTGCCGAGGTGCGAACATCCGAAGTGGAAGACGGCGGATGCAGGATGACGATCGCCACCACGTGGTATTTCCGAGGCGTCTAGACTCGCTAATTTAAACTGACTCGCGAATCTCTAGACCGACATTTCGGCCCAGTCTCGCCGCTGTCACAACTAAGGCCTAAAATATGAGAAACATTTCGCCGTTTACGCGGGGAACGGACCGAGAGTCGTTCCTGAAGGTCGCCCGTTAGAAAGTATCCACCTTACATGACACACGAACGCGCGCCAATGATCTATCTATAGCTAGAAATATAATCTTTGCATAACTTGCACTCGACCTATGAATTTCTACATCGTTATAGCGTCGTGAATTATCAGATTATTATCGTGGAATTTTAAATGCGCGACGCATTACGCTGCACCGACAACATGTGCAACATTGAAACATCCTTCCCAGGAAACCGTCGCGTTTCTGCTATTAATTCATTATTTCCTGACGGAACACAGAATTTTTTAATTAATGCGTAATAATGCGAATAACAAATTACGCATTCGTATAAATAATCACAAAGTTCGAGGAAAGTAAAAATTCATGGATTTGCATTTAAATATGATATCGGGTTAGTTCCTGGTTTCATCTCATATCCGTAATACATCTCACGTAGCTACGAGAGATCGTGAACGTAAGCCTAATACAGGTTTAATTTACGTATATCACTAACGGTATATAAGACCTGCTTATTTAGACATTAGTAATTATACACGTTAGAAAGATTGCAGGGAACATTATGCGCCGTGGACGTCCTACCGCGACGTTATATAGGCAACTTTTTTTCTCGTCATGTTGTGCAACTTAATTTGCCGCACTTCTCTCTAAATTTCATCGTTGCATTACTTGCGTTATCATTTCTGAATAAATATATTACAGCTAAAAAGCTCACATAATGTTATAAACACATTGGCAAACCTGAATCGGATCTTTAAAAGTGAATGAAAATAACTCCAACTAAATTATATGAAATTCATCGGTTTGTTCATTAAGTACATCAATAGTCAATAGGTCAATATTGCGACGCAAAATATTGCATTGTACCTCAGTTCAGCGGTCAAAGAACCCTCGATCTCTTGCCAGCGCGACGGCAAAGGTTCGTTTGTAAAGTTAAAGCGAGCTATAAACTGTTCCCTGACCCGTCTCATCGATCGTAATAAATTAAGGTCAATCTACATATTCCTGAAAAATAGTATAATCTCTCGGCGAACGACTTTATTACGTCTGACTTTACTATTATCGAGTAAGTCCTTACTGGACGGAAAAGTTTTTGTACAAATTTTAAGATACAGTTATGTCGAGCGATACAAAAATCCTGATGCAAGAATTAAAAATATCGTGCATTAGTTATTAGTCATTAATGCCATTATTCACATTATACATAGCATACTACGTGAGCGAATTTCTTGCTTGAAATTTATATAATTAATCTTAAGAAAATATGATACAGTAAAAATATTATTTATGCAATATAAGTGATTATTCGCAACGTTTCGTTCTAGAAATTATATTCGGACATTTTTTAAAATTATAACTTAATTTACTTTGCAAAACTTTACTCATAAATCTAAAAATTTTCAAAAAAACCACATTTTAGTTGTATTATACATGTACGATATATATATTCCGATGTACGTATTTCGATATATATTTAATTTTTATCTATTGTCAGACAAAAAATCTCTAAAAATCGATGAGAACATAATTTAATATAATTTTTCGAGAAATCTTTATGAGTTAATATCACCTATTTAAATGTATTATTAATTGCAATAAAAAAAATGTCAGCTGATTAGAATTACGGAACAATTTGCCATTAAATGGTAGAGATGTATAATTAAAGTGAAGTGACACTGCATCAACGACAACCACAGGCATCTCGAACAGCTGGTGTTGCATTTACGCGGTCCAGCTTTCGCGTGCTTCTATATTAAATGCAGTTACTTACAAGACACGAGCAATCGCTCGAGTTACACACCAGACGAAAATATCGTCCGTGGGAGATCCTTTCCCGAAATCGCGTCCGGAGAATAGCCACTTCAAGCGACGCAATTTACCGCTTACAAAACACGCGAAACTTTCGTTGCAATTAATTAATACAGAATTCGTCGCAATGTGAATCCTCTCGATGTTATTACAACGGTATATTATAACGGTACATATTAAATTGCTCTCGTTATATTTATAACTCCGATGTTTACGGAAACGTGCACAAGATTGTCAGAGAAATCACGGTATTATTTACTTCGACATATAAAGCGCGAGAAGCTAATATTGCTTCCATAAAATTGACATTAATGTGAATTAAATGTGGATTGAAATTTGTTGTAATCTCAGATTATAAGTTTCCTGCCGTCATGAATAAAGAAAGCATTTCTTTTTTAAATATTTCTTATTATATACGTCACACGACAAAACCATATACACTAAAACTACATTACTAATAAAAGTAAAATAAAAGAATGTTTGGCACATTTAGTCCTTTTGCAAGATGAGACCTGCATCAGGGTGGAGGTGCCACTTTTTCTCTACCTTCAAGGATGAACTGCACCTTCTCATAAGAGGCAGAAGGTGCAGCATGATAATCCTCAAAGGAATATACCTAAGTTGGGAAAAGGTCGACAAAGATAGACGAACATAAACATCAGAGAAACACGCGCCGCAAAGTCCCGACAGAAAGAGACGATGAACGGGAACAGCGCACAAGAGGCGGTCACCCATTCTTGTTGGATACCGAGCGAAGCATGCTTGACCGTGAAGAACGTGCAGTGTATATGACAACGAATGCGCTACACAGCGTACGAAGCAAATGGCTACTTATCAGTTATTTTACAATAATTAACGAACAAGATAGCCAAAATTTTAAAAAATTATTATTTTATCTTGTTAAAAATATCTACACCTTTGTAGGAAATAACGTAATAAATAATTTGTTGCGAAAAATATATACGATATTAATTGTTTCATATTCTTTGCATTAGATGCATTTACATTCAATAGAATAATACACAAATAGATAAAAAAAAATGTTACTGCAACGTATTAAACGTATGGCGATAAGATAATAGCATCCGGAACTACACGGTATATAAACCGAAGTAAATTTAAAGTTAAATTTAGATACGAAAAGTCTCACGTAAAACGTTTAGGATAATCAACTTTGTCGCATAAC